AATCATTAGAGAAATGCAAATCAAAACTACAGTGAGGTATCACCTCATACCAGTCAGAATGGCCATCATCAAAAAAATCTACAAACAATAAATGCTGGAGAGGGTGTGGAGAAAAGGGAACCCTCTTGCACTGTTTCTGGGAATGTAAATTGATACAGCCACTATGGAGAACAGTATGGAGGTTCCTAAGAAAACTAAAAATAGAACTACCATACGACCCAGCAATCCCATTACTGGGCATATACCCTGAGAAAACCATAATTCAAAAAGAGTCATATACCACAATATTCCTTGCAGCTCTACTGAAAATAGCCAGGACATGGAAGCAACCTAAGTGTCCATTGACTGATGAATGGATAAAGAAGATGTGGCACAGATACACAATGGAATATTACTCGCCATAAAAAGAAACAAAATTGAGTTATTTGTAGTGAGGTGGATGAACCTAGAGATTGTCATAGAGAGTGAAGTAAGTCAGAAAGAGAAAAAACAAATATTGTATGCTAACACATCTGAAAAAAAAAAAGGTTCTGAAGCACCTAGGGTCAGGACAGGAATAAAGACGCAGATGTAGAGGATGGACTTGAGGACACAGGGAGGGGGAAGCGAAAGCTGGGATGAATTGAGAGAGTGGCATATACATATATACACTACCAAACGTAAAATAGATAGCTAGTGGGAAGCAGCCACATAGCACAGGGAGATCAGCTCGTGCTTTGTGACCACCTAGAGACTTGGGATAGGGAGGGTGGGAGGGAGACACAAGAGGGAGGAGATATGGGGATATATGTATATGTACAGCTGATTCACTTTGTTATAAAGCGGAAACTAACACACCATTGTAAAGCAATTATACTCCAATAAAGATGTTTAAAAAAGAAAAAGAAAATATTCATTGAATATTATGTGGCAGGCTTCATTCCTAGTGCTAACGAGTAGAGCAGTGGATAAAGCAAAGTCCCTGCTCCCAAGAAGTTTACATTGGGAAGAGACAGACATGAATCAAATAAAATTGTAATGTAGCAGATGGTCATATTTGTTGAGAGAAACAGTGAGTAAGCATTCTCTGAGGAGATAGCATTTGTGCAGAGACCTTCAGGAAGCAAGGGGGCAATCCATGTGGTTGTCCAGGGAGAGAGTTTTCTGGGCAGAGGGACAGCCAGTGCAATGGCCCAAAAGTGGGAACGTGTGTGGCATGTTTAAGGATCAGCCAGGAGACCAGTGTGATTGGTGCAGAGGTTGAAAATAGTAAGAATGATGGTGTGGGAGGGAGGGGCGCTGAATCATGTAGGGCTTTATCGGGCATTATATGACCTTTAGCTTTTACGCTGAGTGAAATTGGGAGCCGTGGGGGAATAGTCCATGAGGAATGACATGATGTAACTTAAATTTTAAATGAATCACTCCAGCTGCTGTGTGGAGTGAGAACAGACTTTAGGAGATTAAGGGCAGAAGCAAGGAGACAAGTGGGAGGCAATTTACAGTAGTTCACGTGAGAGATGATGGTGGCCAGGATCAGGTGGTGGTGATTGAGGTGGCGAGACCTGGTCAGATTTTGAATGAAAGACTGATGTGTTTTGCAGATGTCTTGGGTATGGAATGTGGGAGAAAAAGAAGGAGTCAAGGATGACCCCAGGATTTTGACTTCAGCAATTGGAAGATTCGAGCTGCCATCAACAGAGACGGACAAGAATGGAGGAAAACCAGGTTTGTGGAGGAGGAATCAGGAATTCTCTTGGAACATGTTACATTTAAGATGCCTATTCGATCTCCAAGAGGGAATGTTGAGTAGACAGTTGGATAGATGCATCTGGAGTTGAGAGAAGTCTGAACTCAGATACAAATTTGGAAATCTTCAATGTATCGATGGTAGTTAAAGCCATGGGACGGGATGTGGTTGCCTAGGGGCAGAGTATACAGAAGGGAAATCGCCCGAGGTCTGAATTCTGGGGCACTCCAATGGTGCCAGGTCAGGATTGAGAAGAGAAATCAACAAAAGGCACTGAGTAGGAGTAGCCAGTGAGGTAGCTGTTGAGAGAATGGTCCCTGGAAGCCATGGAGATAAAGTTTTTCAAGGAGGAGGGAGGGTTCATCTCTTTAGAATGCTGATGAAACGTCAAGCAAGATGAGGACTGAGAACTGACCATTTGATTTGACAACACAGAAGTTCATTTGTGACCTTGAGAGGAACTATTTTCATGGAGTGATAGAGATAAACATCTAATTGAGGACGATTCGAGAGAGAAGAAGATAGGAATTAGAGACAGTGAATATAGACAGCTCTTTCAAGGAATTTTGTTGTAATGGGAAGAAGAGAGGTGGGACGGAAGCTGGAGAGGGATGTGGGGTGAATGGAGGACTTTACTTGGTAGATACAGTAGCATATAGAGAGGAAGATATTATTGATACGAGAGGTGAGAATTCCTGGAGTGGTCTTCTTAAGCAGGTGGGAGATGAGTTTAAGGGCACGAGCGGAGCTAGTAAGGGAAGGAGCCAGGATTAACCAGCTGTCCCTTACTTCAGAGGCTCTTACACTCAACCATCATTCTACAGTGCTACTCAGACAACACCCATTAGGTAGCGCCAGGCACTTGGCTCTGTTCTTTTCATCACATACTCAGGCAACTGCCTTATTTGGGATTCAAGGCTTTGATAAGGGAAACAATTAAATCTATGAAGCATGATAGCTTCAGCTTCTTTTCTGATTCCCTAAAAGCCCTCCCTTCCCCCTTCTGCTTTCGTTTGTCACTACAGGAAGGAAAGGGACTCCATAAAAGAAGCCAGTTGACAGCTCGGTCTTATGTGTAATACTGGCCTAATGGGCAGAGGAGATCATTTCTCTCCCTTCCATTGTCCCCCTCTCATCCTCTACAGACCTCTAACGTTGCTCTCACTGGTGGTTATAGCAATCTAAGAAGCAACAGTCATTTTTGCAGGTGTTTTTTCACCTGCCCAGAGGAATAGGCAAGAATCCTGTCAGGTGAACATGAGGAGGGTGGGAAGCAGGGAGATGACAGAGCAACTGTGCTTCTCTGTAGGGTTGGAGAACAGCCAAGGAAGTCCCCTTAACACAGGCAAGCTCCCCATCCACTAACCACAAGGCAGCCAGACTCAGATGTGTTACTCTGTGGGCTATTTAGGATGGCTGGGATGTGTCACCCCAGAGATGGAAGCCAATCCAGAGTGGGAGGGGACAAAGATGAGAGATTGACGACGATATCTGCTGAGTTTCCAAGTCAGGTGACACTAGTTGAACATTTTTAGGGTGAGTTTTAAGGTTAGTATGATTTTCTGGGCCAGGGGAAAAGGAGAGATGGAAGGAGACAGGGTAAGGGAGAGAAAGAAGATAAAAGTAAGAAGGGAGGAGCAGTGAAAGACCTTTGGAGGGGCGTCAGGAGGAATAGGAAGCGAAAACCCAGGCGTGTCCTGCTTAATGGTAGTTATTGGGCCCCTTCAGCCACAGGTGCTGGCTATAACAAACTAGCATTTCTGCCCTCCCTCCTCTCCCCAGCTTGCACAAACACACACTTCAATGTGAAGCTTATGACTGAATGTTTATATCAGAACAGGAAGAAAAACCAGAAGTCATTTTTCTGCTCTAAATCTAAGTTATTCCTCTTGTCCTCTTCCTAGGTGTGCAGGGCCTTTGATCCAATTTAGTACCAACCATCTGCTTCTAAGAACCACCTTGGCCGGTCGCCATTAAAAGCGCCATATATTAGGGACCTCGTGTAGTGCAGTTGCAGCACAGTATTACGTTATTTATTTTTTAATCTAATCCTCTGCCTTTAGATGCTGGAAATGAGAACTTGTCAGATTCTAATCTCTCCAGGGATGTTTTCTTTCCAGGCAAGCCTGGTCTGTCTTCTATAGAAAACAGGATGAAATCCAATCTTTGGATGATGTGATGGGGGTGGAAAGAGAGAGAGAGGGAGAGAGAGAGAGGGGGAGAGGCCGATAGGGCTGGGAGAGGCCCAAAGGACGCAAATGGCCCTAGAAGGCTGATAGATCCTTTTTATTTATTTATTTTTTTAAAGAATCACCATTTGGGGGATATCCCTTCTGTTTAGGGTTGACCCGACCATCCCAATCAGATGATGTGGCTGCTTCAGTTATTGCAACGGACGCAACTGAGGGGAAAACATCATGTTGAGGGTCAAAAAAGAGAATAAGCAACACCATGAGAAGTAGCTCATTCTTCTCTCTCTATTTTTTGTTTTCGTTTTTCTTCTTTTACCTTTAATCAATTGAATATTAATAAGGTCATGGTTTCTGCACTCAGAATCAGAGTTTCTTTGATCTTTGAGGGAAACAGAAGTGTTTGGACCTGATTTTCCACTGATCTCTTTCTCTTAGGAACTCCAGACTAAATCCTATATATAAAGATCTTCTTTTCTTTTCTTTTTAAAAGTTACACTTTATTTTGGGATAATTGCAGATTCACATGCAGTTGTAAGAAATGATACAGAGAGACCCTGGGTACCCTCTATCCAGTTATGTTTGCTTTTTTAAAAAAAACTTTATTGAGGTATGATTGACATACAAAAAAACTGTACATATTTAGTGTATGCAACTTGATGAGTTTGGAGATAAGTATACACTTGTGAAATCATCACCACGATCAATGCCATAAATATAACCATCACCTCCAAAAGCTTCCTCCTACCCTCTTGATTTATTTATTTTTGGGGAGATAAGAACACAACATAAGACCTACCCTTTCTTTTTAAAATAAATTTATTATTCATTTATTTTTGGCTGCATTGGGTCTTTGTTGCTGTGCACGGGCTTTCTCTAGTTGTGGTGAGAGGGGGCCACTCTTCGTTGCAGTGCATGGGCTTCTCATTGCGGTGGCTTCTCTTGTTGCAGAGCATGGACTCTAGGGTGCACGGGCTTCAGTAGTTGTGGTGCATGGGCTCAGTAGTTTGTGGCTCACGGGCTCTAGAGCGCAGGCTCAGTAGTTGTGGCACACGGGCTTAGTTGCTCCCCGGCATGTGAGATCTTCCCGGACCAGGGCTCGAACCCATGTCCCTTGCATTGGCAGGCAGATTCTTAACCACTGTGCCACCAGGGAAGTCCCAAGACCTACCCTTTTGGCAAATGTTCACATATACAATACAGGCACTGTGTATTAACTGTAGGCACTATGCTGTGTACTATATTCATTTTTTTAAGTCCGATTAGATTTTTCTTTAGTGGACCCCTTCACTCTTCATCTGCCTGATTCATATAACATTGAATCATTCATATAACATGTTCATATAACATTGTGCTGTGCACACCTCTGAAGAACCAGGAAATGCCAAGTCAGAGATGGCCCATTCCAAAGGGGAAAACAGAAAGCTTCCATCTGAGTCTCATGCGGTCACTGCATCTTATCATTCACCTGCCTTAATGACAAATTGTACTTTTCTCTACATATAGCTTCCTGTAAATTTCTAAGCCAGAGTAAAGGAAATATCAAATATGGAAAGGAAGAGAATCCATACTTGTGCTGTGGACTAATAGTGTATCATGAGTTGTACGGGTCACGTGCACGTCACGCTGAGTATCCCTTACAGGGGAAGGAGGGCATCTGGAGGTGAAATCTGGATGAAAGAATAGGTGGAGAGTTGATGAAGAGAATGGATGGAGGAAAGGAGCAGGAGGTGGCCCTGAAGTTATGGCTCCGCCACAAAGGGTAGCTCCAAATGGGGGAGGCTCTGGAAAGAGGCTGAGCTGCATGGGGATAAGCTAAGAATCTGAGTATAAAACGTTCATTTTTGGAACCCCTGGTGTAGATAAGCGATTAGCATGCCAGGGGCCAATCCAAGAGCAAAATGGGGACTCCTGTCTCTTATTCCTTTGTTCTTTCTGTCTCTGTTTCCTTAGAAACAAATCCATCAATATCGGGAGAACCCCATCCAAGAGGGAACTGCTCTGAAGATATTCAATCCCCAAGTGTTTTGAAAGCAGATGCCAGTTATGCCAAATGAGTCCTTGAAAGAGCTCAATCACTTCCTGATTTGAAGCAGCAAGTAAAAAGCCTACCCATCTTTAATGGTAGAAGGTATTACCAAGTGCTCAGAAGATTAAAATATTGTGATCATGAGGCTGAGGTCCTGGGCTGAAACCCTGTGTGGCTCATTTGCTTCTTGACTCCCCAGCTCCAAACAGTAGTGACTGCGCCCCTGTCCACAAATGAGTCCTCCAGACCTAGACAGTCATTTTGCAAGAACAAGCCACAGGTCCTATAAAACTCTGGGCAAGAGGCAGGGTGGTGTGGAGTGTAGCTGGTCAGGCTCTGCATTTAGACAGATCTGGCTTGCAAACTTGCCCTTGTTATTTCCTCCTTATTACCAGTGGAAACTTAAGCCAATTACTTATCCTCTCTCTCTCTCTAAGCCTTGGTTTCCCCACAGAGTTGTGATAATTTAGCACATAACTACTCAATAAATGATGGCTGTTACTATTTTTATTATCACCAATAGCGTTACAATTCTCAGTGTAGATTGAGACCTAAGTGTAAATTTGGAAGTTGATTGCTACTGCCACACTTCCCCTCAAGAATTCTCAGAAGAGATGCAAATTCACCTGGCCCTGGTCACTGTTTAACATGCTCCAAGAGAGGGTGCTATTATCAGTACCACTTAGTAATTTCAAGTCAAATGAAATCAATCTCCTATCCTCAATCTGACTCCACTGCTGGAACAGTGATTCAAAGCTCTTGGGCCTACCCATGAGGGATGGACAGAATAGCTTTATCTTCTCTGTAACAGGGAGGGAGGAGATAGTGCACTGACTGCTTATCTTACAGAGTACCAGGTTAGGGTAGGGGATTGCGTAGAGCTAGGATGAATGCAGCAACAGCTCTCAGAATCCCCTGGGGGGTTCCTGAGATTGCTTTCCAAAACTGCTTTTAGCATATTGATTTCTGACAGCTCTGCACTTCAGGAAAAGAGCAACTACAGACTGCCAGCTTGCCCACATCTCCAAATCAATAACACATGTACCAGATGCTTGATTTTCTTTCTTTCCTTTTTTCTTCCTCCCCTGCAGCAAAGTGTGTGGTTTCTAATAACACTCCTGCAATGTTGTGTTGGGACAGGATGTCAGTTTCACCTGAGGCTACAGAAGTAAAAGGGTATCCTAGTCCACAGAAAATCGGCCCACTTGGGATAGATTTGATTTCTGCTTTAGGATTAAAACATGAATATCTGGAATTGAAAAAGGGGAAAATCCCTAAAGCAAACAGTTATTGAATGGCTTACTTACCAGACAGCATGTTAGCTACTTTCCATATGTATTACCTCTTCGATCCTCACAACCACCCTGCAAGCTGGATACTTTGAATAGCATAACACATATGAGGAAAAAGGCTCTGAGAGGTTAAGTCACTTGCCTGGAGTTGCAAAAGCTCATCAAGGAACGATGGCAAGGAATTGAACCCATGTCTCTCTGATTTCAAGCCTGATTTGTTTGTTTACTTGGTTATTCAAATATTGATTCATGAAATAAAGTCAATACTTATTTTTATATTAATTTCAGCATCAGGGACTTAAAATATTTCTCGCACTATTCGACTTCTGCAAAAAAGAAAAAAGGGAAGTGCGTTTATGCATTCTAATGTCCGAAATATACATTGTGAAATTTTAGCTGTAAAATACGTGTTTCTACATATTACCTCACACAGAGTGGCCTTCAATACATGTTTACTAAAAAGAATGATAACAGAGCCCGTCTGGCTGAGGGATCAGCAGCCATTTTGCACTATGGATTCTGGTCTGAAGAGCCAGGTGTGAGGCCTCTGCCCCCGGCACCAAATGAGCGAGTGAAACTGGAAAACACAAAGGGAAAGAAAAGGGAGAATTCTTTGTAAAATATGAAGAAGGAAAACTCCTTGATCCAACAGACTGGAAAACTAACTCAAAGAACACACTGAAGAAGATTTGAAGCCGTGTGGCTGACAGGGTCTTGGTGCTCCAGCCAGGTGTCAGGCCTGAGCCTCTGAGTGAGAGAGCCGAGATCAGGACATTGGACCACCAGAGACCTCCCGGATCTATGTAATATCAATTGGCAAGAGCTCTCTCAGAGATCTCTGTCTCAACACTTAGACCTGGTTCCACTCAATGACCAGCAAGCTACAGTGCTGGAAACCCTATGCCAAAAATCTAGCAAGACAGGAACACAACCCCACCCATTAGCAGAGAGGCTGCCTAAAATCATACAAAGTTCACAGACACCCCAAAACACACCACTGGACGCAGTCCTACCCACCAGAAAGACAAGATCCAGCCTTAACCACCAGAACACAAGCACCCGTCCCCTCCAGCAGGAAGCCTACACAACCCACTGAACAAACCTTACCCACTGGGGGCAAACACCAAAAACAACAGGAACTACAAACCTGCAGCCTGTGAAAAGGAGACCCCAAACACAGTAAGTTAAGGAAAATGAGAAGACAGAGAAATAAGCAGAAGATGAAGGAACAAGGGAAAAACCCACCAGACCAAACAAATGAAGAGGAAATGGGCAGTCTATCTGAAAAAGAATTCAGAATAATGATAGTAAAGATATCCAAAATCTTGGAAATAGAATGGAGAGAATACAAGAAACATTTAACAAGGACCTAGAAGAACTAAAGGGCAAACAAACAATGATGAACAGAGCTTCCCTGGTGGTGCAGCGGTTGAGAGTCCGCCTGCCAATGCAGGGAACACGGGTTCGTGCCCCGGTCTGGGAGGATCCCGCATGCCGTGGAGCGGCTGTGCTCCACAATGGGAGAGGCCACAACAGTGAGAGGCCCGTGTACCGCAAAAAAAAAAAAAAAAAAAAAATTATGAACAACAAAATAAATGAAATTAAAAATTTTCTAGAAGGAATCAATAGCAGAATAACTGAGGCAGAAGAATGGATAAGTGGCTTGGAAAATAAAAGAGCAGAAATACCTACCACAGAGCAGACAAAAGAAAAAAGAATGAAAAGAATTGAGGACAGTCTCAGAGACATCGGGGAGAACATTAAATGCACCAACATTGGAATTATAAGGGTCCCAGAAGAAGAAGAGAAAAAGAAAGGGACTGAGAAAATATTTGAAGAGATTATAGTTGAAAACTTCCCTAATATGGGGAAGGAAATAGTCAATCAAGTCCAGGAAGTGCAAAGAGTTGCATACAGGATAACTCCAAGGAGAAACATGCCAAGACACATATTAATCAAACTATCAAATATTAAATACAAAGAGAAAATATTAAAAGCAGCAAGGGAAAAACAACAAATAACATACAAGGGAATCCCTGTAAGGTTAACAGCTGAACTTTCAGCAGAAAATCTGCAGGCCAGAAGGGAGTGGCAAGACATATTTAAAGTGAAGAAAGGGAAAAACCTACAACCAAGACTACTCTACCCAGCAAGGATCTCAGATTCCACAGAAAAATTAGAACCTTTAGGGACAAACAAAAGCTAAGAGAATTCAGCACCACCAAACCAGCTTTACAATAAATGCTAAAGGAACTTCTCTAGGCAGGAAACACAAGAGAAGGAAAAGACCTACAATAACAAACCCAAAACAATTAACAAAATGGTGGGCTTCCCTGGTGGTGCAGTGGTTGAGAATCTGCCTGCTAATGCAGGGGACATGGGTTTGAGCCCTGGTCTGGGAGGATCCCACATGCCGCGGAGCAACTAGGCCTGTGAGCCACAAGTACTGAGCCTGCACATCTGGAACCTGTGCTCCGCAACGGGAGAGGCCACAACAGTGAGAGGCCCGCGCACCGCGATGAAGAGTAGCTCCCGCTTGCCACAACTAGAGAAAGCCCTCACACAGAAACGAAGACCCAACACAGCAAAAATAAATTAATTAATTAATGAAGTGTCTCAGATTGATGTGTTTAATACCTTCACAAATATTTTTTTTAAAAAAAGAAAATGGTAATAGGAACATACATACCGATAATTACTTTAAATGTGAATGGATTAAATGCTCCAACCAAAAGACATAGACTGGCTGAATGGATACAAAAACAAGACTCATATATATGCTGTCTACAAGAGACCCACTTCAGACCTAGGGACACATAAAGACTGAAAGTGAGGGGATGGAAAAAGATATTCCATGCAAATGGAAATCAGAAGAAAGCTGGAGTAGCAATTCTCAGATCAGACAAAATAGACTTTATAATAAAGACTATTACAAGAAACAAAGAAGCACACTACATAATGATCACGGGATCAAACCAAGAAGATATAACAATTGTAAATATGTATGCACCCAACATAGGAGCACCTCAATACATAAGGCAAATGCTAACAGCCATAAAATGGGAAATCGACAGTAACACAATCATAATAGGGGACTTTAACACCCCACTTTCACCAGTGGATAGATCAACCAAAATGAAAATAAATAAGGAAACATAAGCTTCAAACATAAGCTTTAAACTTTAAAACAAAGCATTAAACAAGATGGACTTAATTTTTATTTAAAGGACATTCCATCCAAAAACAACAGAATACACTCTCTTCTAATGTGCTCATGAAACATTCTCCAGAATAAATCACATCTTGGGTCACAAATCAAGCCGTGGTAAATTTAAGAAAATTGAAATCGTATCAAGTATCTTTTCCGACCTCGACTCTATAAGACTAGATACCAATTACAGGAAAAAAAACTGTAAAAAATACAAACACATGGAGGCTAAACAATACATTACTTAATAACCAAGAGAGCATTGAAGAAATCAAAGAGGAAATCAAAAAATACCTAGAAACAAATGACAATGAAAACACGACGACCCAAAACCTATAGGATGCAGCAAAAGCACTTCTAAGAGAGAAGTTTATAGCAATACAATCCTACCTCAAGAAACAAGAAAAACCTCAAATAAACAACCGAACCTTACACCTAAAGCAATTAGAGAAAGAAGAACAAAAGCCCCAAGTTAGCAGAAGGAAAGAAATCATAAAGATCAAATCAGAAATAAATGAAAAAGAAATGAAGGAAACGATAGCAAAGATCAATGAAACTAAAAGCTGGTTCTTTGAGAAGATAAACAAAATTGATAAACCATTAGCCAGACTCATCAGGAAAAAAAGGGAGAAGACTGAAATCATTAGAATTAGAAATGGAAAAGGAGAAGTAACAACTGACACTGCAGAAATACAAGGATCATGAGCGATTACTACAAGCAGCTATATGCTAATAAAATGGACAAACTGGAGAAATGGACAAATTCTTAGAAAATCACAACCTTCAGAGATTGAACCAGGAAGAAAGAGAAAATATAAACAGACCAATCACAAGCACTGAAATTGAAACTGTGATTAAAAATCTTCCAACAAACAAACGCCCAGGACCAGATGGCTTCACAGGCGAATTCTATCAAATATTTAGAGAAGAGCTAACACCTGTCCTTCTCAACTTCTTCCAAAATATAGCAGAGGGAGGAACACTCCCAAACTCTTTCTACGAGGCCACCATCACACTGATACCAAAACCAAAGATGTTACAAAAAAAAATAATTACAGACCAATATCACTGATGAACACACACGCAAAAATCCTCAACAAAATACTAGCAAACAGAATCCATCAGCACATTAAAAGGATCATACATCATGATCAAGTGGGGTTTATCCCAGGAATGCAAGGATTCTTCAGTATTCGCAAATCAATCAATGTGATACACCATATTAACAAAGTGAAGGAGAAAACCATATGATCATCTCATTAGATGCAGAAAAACTTTCAACAAAATTCAACACCCATTTATGATAAAAACTCTCCAGAAAGCAGGAATAGAGGGGACTTACCTCAACATTATAAAGGCCATATATGACAAACCCACAGGCAACATCGTTTTCAGTGGTGAAAAACTGAAACCATTTCCACTAAGATCAGGAACAAGAAAAGGTTGCCCATGCTCACTATTATTCAAAAGAGTTTCGGATGTTTTAGCCACCGCTATCAGAGACGAAAAAGAATTAAAAGGAATCCAAATCAGAAAAGAAGAAGTAAAACTGTCACTGTTTGCAGATGACATGATATTATACATAGAGAATCCTAAAGATGCTACCAGAAAACTACTAGAGCTAATCAATGAATTTGATAAAGTAGTCGGATACAAAATTAATGCACAGAAATCTCTTGCCTTCCTATACGTGAATGATGAAAAATCTGAAAGAGAAATTAAGGAAACACTCCCATGTACCACTGCAACAAAAAGAATAAAATACCCAGGAATAAACCTACCTAAGGAGACAAAAGAGCTGTATGCAGAACATTATAAGACACTGATGAAAGAAATTAAAGATGATACAGACAGATGGAGAGATATACCATGTTCTTGGATTGGAAGAATCAACATTGTGAAAATGACTCTACTACCCAAAGCAATCTACAGATTCAATGCAATCCCTATCAAATTACCAATGGAATTTTTCACAGAACTAGAACAAAAAATTTCACAATTTGTGTGGAAACACAAAAGACCCTGACTAGCCAAAGCAATCTTGCGAAAGAAAAACGGAGCTGGAGGAATCAGGCTCCTGCACTTCAGACCATATTACAAAGCTACAGTAATCAAGACAGTATGGTACTGTCACAAAAACAGAAATATAGATCAATGGAACAGGATAGAAAGCCCAGAGATAAACCCACGCACCTAAGGTCAACTAATCTATGACAAAGGCAGCAAGGATATACAGTGGAGAAAAGACAGTCTCTTCAATAAGTGTTGCTGGGAAAATTGGACAGCTACATGTAAAGGAATGAAATTAGAACACTTCCTAACACCATACACAAAAATAAACTCAAAATGGATTAAAGACCTAAATGTAAGGCCAGGCACAATAAAACTCTTAGAGGAAAACATAGGCCAAATACTCTATGACATAAATCACAGCATGATCCTCTTTGACCCACCTCCTAGAGAAATGGAAAAAAAACAAAAATATACAAATGGGACCTAATGAAACTTCAAAGCTTTTGCACAGGAATGGAAACCATAAACAAGATGAAAAGACAACCCTCAGAATGGGAGAAAATATTTGCAAACGAAGCAACTGACAAAGCATTAATCTCCAAGATTTACAAACAGCTCAATATAAAAAAAAAAACAACCCCATCCAAAAATGGGCAGAAGACCTAAATAGACATTTCTCCAAAGAAGAGACACAGATTGCCAACAAACACATGAAAAGATGTTCAACATCACTAATCATTACAGAAATGCAAATCAAAACTACAATGAGGTATCACCTCACACCCGTCAGAATGGCCATCATCAAAAAGTCTACAAACAATATATTCTGGAGAGGGTGTGGATAAAAGGGAACCCTCGTGCACTGTTTCTGGGAATGTAAATTGATACAGCCACTGTGGAGAACAGTATGGAGGTTCCTTAAAAAGCTAAAAATAGAACAACCATATGACCCAGCAATCCCACTACTGGGCATATACCCTGAGAAAATCATAATTCAAAGAGAGTCATGTACTACAATGTTCATTGCAGCTCTATTTACAATAGCCAGGACATGGAAGCAACCTACGTGTCCATCGACAGATGAATGGATAAAGAAGATGTGGCACATATATACAATGGAATATTACTCAGCCATAAAAAGAAATGAAATTGAGTTATATGTAGTGAGGTGGATGGACCTAGAGTCTGTCATACAGAGTGAAGTAAGTCAGAAAGAGAAAAACAAATACCGTATGCTAACACATATATATGGAATCTAAAAAAAAAAAAAAAGGTTGTGATGAACCTAGGGGCAGGACAGGAATAAAGAGATGCAGACTTTGATAATGGACTCGAGGACACAGGGAGGGGCAAGGGTAAGCTGAGATGAAATGAGAGAGTGGCATGGACATATATACACTACCAAATGTAAAATAGATAGCTAGTTAGAAGCAGCCGCATAGCACAGGGAGATCAGCTCAGTGCTTTTTGACCACCTAGAGGGGTGGGATAGGGAGGGTGGGAGGGTAGCTCAAGAGGGAGAGGATGGGGGATAATGTATACGTACAGCTGATTCACTTTGTTATACAGCAGCAACTAACACAGCAATTTAAAGCAATTATACTCCAATAATGATGTTAAAAAAAAAAGAATGATAACAAGGGACGTGAGGAAATACAACCAGTAGATATGAGCCTCCCTCAGGAAGATGCTGGGTCTGCCATCTTCCATGCACCTGGGACTAGCTTAGCGTGGAATCAATCAGCTTATGTCTCTATTCAATGGAGCAATTTCTTCTTTCCCGCATCGTGGCATAGAAAGAGACAAATGAGCTAGATAGTCAGGATTCCAAACTGCAGCCCATATTTTTAAGGCCTGTTTTTTCACACCAACATTCCTGATTTTTTTTTTAAGGACTATTAAAGCTAGAAGGGAATTTAGAGATGAGTGACTGAAATCCTTTCGGATTCCAAAAGAGAAAGTAGAGCCCCAAAGAAAGAGAGTGACTAGCCCAAGCTAATCAAATTCAACCCGGGTTTCCTGGCTGCTAGTTCTCTCCTGCGCTTTGAACTGTATGACATTTCTGCCAGCCAGCCTTTCCCAGACTGTGTGAAGGACAGAGCAAGCAACCCAAGTCCTGAAGAGTTCCCTGCTCTGCCCAGTATGCCACAGCAAGTTTTTGGCTCTGCCTGAGTCTGTGACATTTAACCACACACCTTTCTTGGAACCCCTGGAAAAAAGACAACCACCTGACTGCTTCATGATTTAAATAACCAAATAATGCCAAATTGAATTTCTGATAACACAGTAAGTGGTAACTTAGGACTACAAGCCAAGAAAACATTTCTCCACTGATAGCCAATTAAAGGAATTAAGGCAAAGTTTAAATTTGGAAGCTGGAGGAGTAATTTGTTAATCTTGAACTTCTTCTTCAGCTTGGCTTGGGCTTTCTAGATGATAAATAAAAGGTTTAATAATGTCAGTTCTGTTCAGTTAGTTTACCCCAAAGCAAAGACCTTTTTCGTGTGTGCTGTTCCTGAAGTTTTTCTTTCTTTTCTTGGTGTGTACCTGATATATGTACTTCTAACTGGCTTCCCTTGTAAAAGCATGACTTTCCCATTATTTAAGATTTAATGATGGTAATAATCTTTTGAATTTATAGATCAACCAGATTGCAGAGCACCTCAGGTGTATATTCTTTTTTAATTAATTAATTAATTTAGGCCATGCTGTGCAGCATGCAGCATCTTAGTTCCCTGACGGAAGATCAAACCCTTGCCCCTTGCATTGGAAGCACAGTGTCTTAGCCACGGGACCACCAAAGAAGTCCCCTCAGGTGTATATTCTTATTTGTCCCGTACATATACTTGTGAAACAAGGAGAGTTTGGAATTTGTACCTTTCTGCCAAATATGAGGAAACCAAAGGGTGAAGTCGGTTAGGTAGGAAGTCAAGGACACAAGGCTAGAACCTGGATCGTTTTTGTCTCTGAACACAGTGATTTTCTCAACTAGTGGGTCAGGTCTCTTATCAAGCGACCCAGTGGAGGGCAAGTGAAAATTGCTGCTAGAGGGATCAAAGTAGGTTAGAAGTTAGGGAGCCAAACAACAAAGCAAACAATCAAAGAAAAAACTCCATCAGATACTAAGGAACCATATCAAAAAGTTAGCTTGATGTCTGGAGACTCCAGGAGACTTACAAATAAAGTCCAAAGGTCAAAGTTCAAGGTTATAGAAAGGAAACCCTTAAAATAAAGCCAGGAAATAGAGTGCAAGGATTGTGATTCTCCGCCTTTTACAGCCCTGATGAAAGAACTCTGCACATTGTGAGAGTTGGAGTTATTGTTGCCTCATGCTGGAGACCCTGAACAGAGAGAGAGTAAAGCTGTGTCCATATGACTAAACCCATTCAAAAGAGTTGTATTGTTTCTACCATGAGAAGAAGGGCTAGCACATAGAAATGGACTTAGAAAATCTAGAAATTTGGAATTGCCTACAAAAATAGAGTAGCTGAGCACAAGAGGCTGGCATTAGCTTGGGGTGGAAGGATGACGGAAGGAGAGAGAGAGTAGCTGTGTCCAATTTGTGTTATTTGGGGATCAGCCATGGCATTCTGGGCTCAGTTCTGATGGGAAGTAGAGGGGAATATAAAGACTTTATTAAACTTTACTAAGGTGGGGTTGCAGCAGAAATGCCCTCCCCACCTCCTACCAAATGTTAATTAATGTTCTTTGAGACCTTTCCAAAACTGGGAGGACTGGAAATCTTCCTGGGGCTCCTGGAGTCCAGAGGCCAATTTCTTTGTAGTATATACCTCTCTCTGACTCCAGGAAGCTGGCTTCTGCTGCTTCCCAGGTTGTATGAGGTTAATGTGTCTTGAACAATTCAGTAGAAATACAACACGGGGGCCCCACTGTTAATATTAGCAGTGGGAAGATGGCTGGGAACTATAGTGACGGGGGTAGAGAAGGGGCTTCCCAGTTACAACAGTTCCCAGCTTGGCAATGAAAGCCCTGAGCCCTGGTGGGTCCCAAGTGTAATTGGTTTGGCATCTCCTATACTCTTAGTATTTATTTCCTGACATAAGAAGTGATCTGATGAACTTCACAGACAGAAGGGTAAGCAAAATAAGCCAGATACAATAAAGTACATGTTTATGATTCTACTTATATGGCATTCAAGTTTAAGCAAAACTAATCTATGATGATAGAAATCAGAACAATGGTTGCCTCTGGGGGTGGGGATTGACTGGGTGTGGGACATCAAGATCTGAGTGGTGATTATAGGGGTGTATACATTTGTCAAACTCATGGAGCTGTACACTTAAGACTAGTAATGCATCTTAGTGTATGTAAGTTAACTCTCAATAAAAAAAGAGAACATTTAAAAAGCAATGATCTCTTCATGGACAGCCAGCTCGTCTATCAAGAGCATTTGCCTATGTTTCCCCAGTGACATGATCGGCTGCCAGGCAATAGTGTATATGGGTTC